CATGAAACATGAACTAAAGTGTCACATTTGATTATTAATTTGTACTTACTTTTTAAGACTTGTTGGAGGCTCCTGAATGGCTACTGATAGCCCAAAACGCCTTCAGGAGCTTTAAATTTCAGAGAAGGCAGATGTGTGTGCTTCACAGGTCATTAAAGCAGATACCTTAAAGCAACTGAGGCCAATAGGAAAAGGGGAACAGGTACTAGAGAAAAGGTTAGATCAAAAAGAATTAACCTAGAAGGTAACACCCACGCACAGGAAATCAATGTGAGTCAATGCCCTGTATAGCTATCCTTATCTCAACCAGCAAAAACCCTTGTTCCTTCCTATTATTGCTTATACTCTCTCTACAACAAAATTAGAAATAAGGGCAAAATAGTTTCTGCTGGGTATTGAGGGAGGGGGAGAGGGAGGGGACAGAGTGGGTGGTAAGGGACGGGGTGGGGGCGGGGGGGAGAAATGAACCAAGCCTTGTATGCACATATGAATAATAAAAGAAAAATTAAAAAAAAAAAAAAAAAAACCTGTATTGTCAGGAACTAGTGCAGTTGAAAAAAGCAGGCCAGTGGTTAATTTTTGCCTCTGACCATACTTAGATCAGCATAATATTATGGAAAGGAAAGTAAACCTAGAATATGAGAGATGGCTTCTGACTCCAGGTATTTCAACAAGAAACTGTGTTTACTGTGGTCTGTTTATTTAATCTCTCTGGGTCTCACTTCTAAGGCACCCAAACAATGTACAAGATGAGAAGGTAAATTCTAGAATTCAAATCTTTATCAAGATCTGCCATATGTAGAGTTATTGTGAAGATTGGTTCATTCATCTAAATTGTCCATTCAAAGGCAGACAAATGTTGAGTAGCTACCATGGCCTGGGAGCTGGGGATACAGCACAGACACAAATAAATCACACTGAGATGCTTTCTTACACTGAATGGGGTTAAGTCCTCATAAACCTACTCTGATAAACCTATAGAAAATATTACCAAGTCTTAAATGGATTTAACCCACCTATCCACCCAACATACTAGCTTGTAACAAGGTAGAGTATTGGTTGTTTGCTGACTGAGACTGTAGTTCACTGGAGCTGCCAGACATCACGGAAGAGGATGGTACTGCATGTCACTAGCCTCGGAAAAGACCAAAACTCAAAATTCTAATCCTGTTTGCTATTGCATGTGCATTTTCTTTTTGCACCATTGTCAAGTTTAAAATTTTTTAAGTGAAACCATTATAAGTTAGCACCCATCTGTACAAATATGAGTAGTGTTTATATATGGAGAGATAGGGAGGTGGGCTTAGATTTTTCTGTGGCTGATGGAAATGTGTGAATAATGACTTCACATGGGGGAGTAGTTACACTTAAGTTGAGAATTGACATTTATGTAAGTGATAAGAAGAATATGCTATTGGCATTTAATTCAAACACAGGAATCAAAAGAGAAAATTTCTGTTTTATAAGCAAAATATTTACAAAGGATAAAGGATTAAGTAATAAACACAGTGACTGATGCTCTGAATTCCATAGTATGAAATTACCAAGTGTTTCCAATATTTTGTGCTAAAAATTAAGAGGAGAAGAAAAGAATAACGTGTGTGACTCCAAGAGTGGCAAGATACAGCAACAAAATCAGTGTGGCCTTGACCTCAGAAAGCAGGGGTGTGGCCTGAGGTAGTCTGGAATAAGGGAGGCAAGGAGTTTACATTGCATAATATGGAGCTTGGATCATGGTAAGCATTCAGTAAGTAGCAAATTAGCTCATTACCATTCTGTCAAAAGAATTTTTAAAAAAGTGCTTCTAATTATTTGTCACCTTGATCTAAAGTTAATAGTGGTCTCTGGAGGAGAAAGGTAGCACCATTTGGTATTTGACATTTTTTTTATAATGTTGGGATATATGGTTGAATTTTTATTGTGCTACTTATAGAAAAAAATTTAAATGGTTCTCTTTTCATTTAAAACATCTCTTTATTTCCTCTCCCTTGTTTTTACTACTTTCGGTTTCTCTTCCAACTTAGCTGTCATCTCTCACTTTTTATATTATGCTAATACACTATCGCTTCCAAGCACTACAGAGATGAGTTTGCCATAAATGAAAAAAATACATAAATCGTCTGCAGAAATTCAAAAGTTATTTTGCTAAAATGTTATGAAAAACCCTTCTGATTTACATATATTTACAAGCAGACATTAGAGGACTAATTAGAGAGCCATTAGAGGTTCAAGTGGTAGAGGGCCTACTTTGTAAGCTTGAAGCCCTGAGCTCAAACTCTAGTCTCACCAAAAACCAAACAAAAACCAAACTGGAACAAAACAAAAAGTAGAGACATTAGAGGTGCTCTCACATCCTAAGATAATAGTTTCAATGAATAGAACAGATTCAGATATTGTTTTTTTATCTGTGCAGGTAACTGATTGAGGGGACAGATTGAGAAAATGACAGTATTAGTACTTTCCAATCAGAAATTTGACTACCTGTTTTAAAATCCATTTTGTGTAAAGGTGGTTGGTTTCCACTAAGGAAAAATGAGCTCTTTTTCCATGGACCATTTCTCCCTCATAGGTAAAAGTAGTGATGAGGTGAACTTCAGGGGCTGAGGAGGAGAACAAGCTGTGCTCCTCAAGTGCGGTGGGGAGAGTCATGGTTACCTGTGCAGTGATGTTACAGTGGAAAGGAGCTCAGAGTAGGCCAAAATGTGAACTTTGAAGGCATCGTTCTCGACATTGCTCTCATTTCTGACACCAACTGCAAGTGCCTAAAAGATCCAAAACTGCCCTGAACATCAAAGGTTTGCTGGAAGGACTGACAGTAGTCAAAATAGTTGTTATACTCACAATCATGGTATATTCACCATCCTGGGTGTTTGTTGGAGCTTCATTGTGGAGGTATAAGTGATTGCTGCCTAAGTGGTTGAACTCCTGCCTCAAGTCAGCTGATACTCTGGGACCCAAATCCTCCACCTATAATTGCATGGTTGGTCTTTCTGGTGTGGCCAGTGCCCAACTCAACTACTGGGTGTGACCATTCTCACTCTGAGATCCACTGTGGCCATTCTCACCTTAAATAAAGACACCCTTCTTAGCTATAACATAGATTATCTCCCAGAAGCCTAGGGTTAAGGCAGAATTATGGCAAGCCCAAATTCTTTACACAAAAGTCTAAAGGGTATCTTTGCAAAGACCCTGGTTTCAGTTCTTCTAGAATGTATACTGCACATTGTGAGATGCTGTGTGAACTCGTTCATGCCCACTAACCACTGTTTGCTCAGCATTTCTTTTCTGTACATTGGGGATAATTGTGGTACTCACCTTAGAGTGTGGTGAACTTAAAGAATGGATCTGGGCGCTTCCTAACTTCAGCTGTTGCTGTTTTCTTCATTTTAGTGGCTATTGTGATGATTGTGTTGTGAGCTTATTATTGTTGTAGTGGTAAAAAGTTGCATTGATGTTACTGCTGTTTGAAGTAGCCAAAGTTAAGTCCATAGATTCAGAACCTTTGGAGTATTCTCTGTCTTGGTTTCCTTATATCATTATTCATAAAATTCTTTCTTAGTCTGTTTATTCCTTTATTCACTCTCTGCTTTAATAGAAACTCCTCTGTGGTTATGCTGAGCCTTCAAGATAAGAGAGTAAAGAGCTTTTTTCCCCTTTACTTCTGTAAATTTGTTTGTTTTTAGAACTGCTCTGGCAATGATTATACAACTGCAGTTGCATAAGCATTTGGTGATGGCCATATCTCATTCCTTTTTACATTCATACTAGAGTCTAAGAGAGGTATGTGTGTGTGTGTGAGAGTGTGTGTGTGCGTGCGTGTGCGTGTGATGCTCAGGTTCTTTTAAAATAGGTACACTTTTTTAAAGATATATGGTTTAGTGTCGTATGTTTTCTTCAATTTACTAGTGATAAAATGGAAATTCCACCAAATATCGAGTATTTTTCATTGATATAGCAAAATAAAATGGTCAACCTTAAGATTTGCTTGTCCTTTTATGAGGAAAAACAACAGACTCAGTTGTTTAGCTGGTTTTGAGTTCAGCATTGGTTTTGCAAAGAGGCTTATGACAGAAAAGACTTCTTGTAGTAGAAAATTCACCAAAGACTTGGGTATCGTTTGTAGTTATAGAAATAACTATTGTGAGCCAGCTGTGGTGACTCTGTGTCTGTAATCCTAGCTACCCAGGAAGCACAGATTGAGAAATCATGGTTAGTAGCCAGACCAGGTAAAAAGTTCACGAAACCCCATCTCAACCAATAAAAGGTGGGGTGTGGTGGTACATGCTTGCCATCCCAGCTACGTGAGAAGAATAAATAGAAGGACCTTGGTCCAGACATAAGTGAAAGACTCTATTCAAAAAATACCTGAAAGCTAAAGGGGGTAGGGCATAGTTCAGGTGGTAGAGCACCTTCCTAGCAAGTGCAAGGCCTTGAGTTCAAACCCCTGTATCACGAAAAATAAAAACAAAAAAAGAAAAAGTACCTATTGCAGCCTTATTTACAGTGTGAAGTGACTTTAATTTGCACTGTTTTTATTCTGTGTAGTTCTCTTAGAGGTGTTATTACACTGTTAAGAACAGTGTGACTGATGATTTTTAAAAAAGCAGTGCCTGCAGAGCATGGTACTTCGTGGGCAGCAGAACATGACGTGAGCCTCGTGCTTACTAGGCAAACACTCCATCACTTGAGCCACGTGCTCAGCCCTTTTTACCTTAGTTATTTTTCAGTATTTCTGCTTTTGCTTGGGTCAGCCTGGGATTGAAATCCTTCTACTTCCATCTCCTGCTTAGCTGGGATTACAGATGTGTACCACCACACCTGGCTTATTTTTTGAGATAGGTCTTGCTAACTTTATTCCAGGGCTAGCCTTGAGCCAAATCCTCCTACTCCCTTAATTTTTGTTTTAAAAGAGCAAATCCTAGTTGCTTGTTTTCTTTCTTCAATTCTGGAATGCAACTGCTACTTATTATTGTTTTTATTTTTCTACCCACCTAGGTGAGCTTCTCTTACGAGGTCCTGTGTTTATCAAAGAACCCAGCAACAGCATTTTCCCTGTTGGTTCAGAAGATAAAAAAATAACTTTAAATTGTGAAGCAAGAGGCAGCCCTTTACCTCATTACAGGTACAGTGGACAATTTTAAAATGCAAATAAAATGTGGTGATTGTGATTTTTTTTTGGCTTCAGTGTATTTATGCCATCAATAAGAAGTAATACAGGAATCTGTAGTTGTATGGTATACGCAAGAGATCAAACACTGGAATTCATACGGTGTATATTTGATTGATGGTAAGATTTCTCCATTAAAGGAAGAACATGGTAGGATATCTTATACATGAAATGCCTCTTCATTGATTTACAATGTAATTTAATTTATAAAGTTGGATTGGTGTGTACTCGTCAGAAACACATTCATTGTGTGGGTGAAATTAGGTGGGTTTTAGAGGTAATTTAAAATCATAACTAAAAAAGTATTTCTGTCTCCCTCTTTCTCCCTCTGCCATTTTACTGGGTGTGAGATTGGGGATTTTTAAATATAGAAGAATAAAATACATTCCCAGTAGAGTCATTTTAATTATTCTTAAAGAGAAAATAGATTTCACTTATTAGATTTTTATTATGTTAAAGACTATTTTTAAGATTATATGAACTTGTGTTCACTGAAAACCTTCAATTATCACAGAAGGAAATAAGGAATAAAGAAAAAAACAGAATTCTCATCACGTTAGATAAGAATATCAACATTTTGGAGGTGATGGGGGGTTATTTGGATGAGATGAGTATTTATTTGATTAAATAACACAAGATTAACTGTTTGTACTCCTTGGGATGCTTAGGGAACCCACTTTAATGAAGAAATGAATTATTTATAAATAGCATAGGGTGCTTTCATATCAGTAGTTGGGAACAGGACTCAATGCACCTCCCTAGCAATACTATTTTTAAAGTAATGCAAGCATCTGCTTCAAAACTCTGTTTACACTATTCATGTGCTCGGTTAGTACAACCTTTCCTATAACCTACAGAACAAGCAACTTTTTCCTATATTAATAAAATTCTAAATGTTCAGAGTCAACATTTGGAGCCTATTGAGCTAGTATTGTTCTCTGAAGCCATATAAATAAAAGAAGCCAACAATCCTTGTTAAATTGGGTCAGGATTGGGTTAGAAAGTAGACCTTTGTAAGTTTGCATCTGGAAGTAATCAAGGTCAGTAATTTTCAACTGTATTCAGCAGCATATTAATGAACACCTACTGAGGACTTTCAAAAAATAAACATTGTAATTTCAGGTTACTAGTCTGCATTGACAGAGGTGAAAGAATTTTTTCCTCAGCCTCTGCTGTTTCCTATAGAAATAAAAAAAAAGAGCCTAGCCAACCATTAAGAAATAAGAAACAAGAAACTATTTTATGTAGTGGTTAGATTAATCATATGTAAGCATATGTGACATCTGGAAAAATTTCTTCTTTGGAGGAAAAATGTACAGATCAATTTAACAAGATATTATTCTGGAAATTTTTTTACCCAGCATTTTTTCTAAGGCATCCTGAAACCTTTTAAATGCATCTGCTTCTCCCCTCCAGTAAAAGGATATGCTTATAGACATGGCTGTAAATATGATAAAGTATCCATATGAATGACTCATGTGGGCTCTTTTGCTGTTTGCAGTGAAGTCGAATTTCCTGACATTTATCTTGTGAATCATTTGGCAATAAAATCATTCAGCTAAAAATTGTCAAGATGCAAGATGTAGTCGTATAGGAATATATTTCTAAATGAGTAGATTGATTATATTTGTATAGTTTTATTAAATACCCAGATGTCTTTGAGATCAGAGATCCAGAAACAGCCTTTTGTTGTAATTATGTTTTTGCATACTAGGCATTTACTGTAATGCCACAGAGTCTGTGTCGAAATACATCCATTATATGTATGAAATGTTGACAAAACTTGACCATGTGTACATTGAGTCTTCTGTTTTATTTTGTGTCCTGGAATCACACTTGCCTTTGAATTTTGAATGTTGCAGTTTAAACAAAATCTGTAACTTAGACTAGGAGATACTTGACTTTGATTGATTTCTTAGTTTTTAAGTTTGATAGATGAAGAAATTTAACATGCTAAGCATTGTTTTAAAATCCTCAGTTTATATACAAATAGAGAAAACATTTTGATTATAGCTTTAAAGATTTTCTAAAGTTAAGATTTCTAATAAATATAAAATTTCACTTATACTAAACGTTTATAATCACTAGAAATTGAGTCCTTGCAAGGCACAAGAGAACCTCTTTTCTTTCTGAGAAACACTAGACTTGCCTATCACAAGAAATGACTCCTGGTTATTTATGTATAAGAAATAGTTTGTGTCATTGGAGTGTTTTAGGGAATAATGTGAGTTATAATTACAACTTTATCACCTTAGCTGGTCCCTTCAGTTTTTGGCCTGTTCTTTTTTCCCTTAGGTTTTGCTTTAAGTAGCTAACTAGGTAATAATCCATATTGTTCTTTAAATGATCCAGAAAAAATATGCTTGCTTATTTTTACTATCCTTCAGACATCATAGAGAAGTAGTGTAAATGTACAATAAAATTAATAATAGAAAAGAAGAATATGGAGCTTGTCTAGATGAAATCAGAGAAAAGCCAATTGTTAAAGGCAATCTAAACATTTCCAAAGATTCAGAATAAAGTTTAAACATCATATACAAGAATATCCTTTGTAAGCCCAGAGCCTGTCCTATTGTTCAATGAGAGCTCTTATCTTTTTATTTTCCCATTGGGTAAAAAGAACTCTTAATTGGTCATATTAGAGATCCAAAAGTTCAGAAATCCTCAAGAGAAATTACTTGTCTTAGGGTTTAATTGAGAATTTTATTCTTTCTCTTACATTTCCCTGCTTGAGCTCTAAAGCCTATATTTAAAGGTTAATTAGTATTCAGTCTCTCCATAATTGCTGATGGTCTTGAAAGAGGTTACCCTGAGGAAGTATTAATACTTTTTTTTAAAATGGGAAGGACATTTCTCCTACTTTTCATGGGAGTAGAAATACCCAACATTTGGTGAAGAATCCTCAATAAGAGGCTTCTGGTCACTTCTTCTGCTGTCAGTCACCATGTAAAGGACCATGTATGTGGGATAAGCTATGGAAAATAATGTAAATCCACATAAGGAGTAGACAAGTAACAAAACTAAATATGGTGGGCCTGCCTGAGGAATAGGTAGATACATTGAGAAATAACTGGAAACTCAAGCATTCAGCCATATGCCTATGGTCATACCTCACCCACAATTACTATGCACAGTCTGTCTTCTTTTTAGTGCTTGCTTTGCTTTGCTGTTTAGACATATGTAGGCTGAAGAAAATAAGTCCTAGGCTAATTGTGGCTCATGTGGGCTTTGAACATTGAACTTTTAGTTTCACTCAGAAAGCTGTGCTCAACTGTAATAGCCAGTAGACAGATATGGTCCTTCAAATTTAAATCCATTAAATTAAATTAAAAATTCACTTCCTCAGTCACAGGAACCTCATTTCAAGTGCTTGGTAGGAATAAATGGCTGGTAGCTACCGTATTGTATAGCACAGATAGGTGTGTCTATACTTCTAGAATGTTCTGTTTGATAACACTGCTCTAAACCAACCTCTAAACCCATAATACTTTCCTACAAATGCTCTTCCATTTTTTTTTGTCTTCACAAGGAAGTGGCCAGAATATCATTCACATCCAACTTTATAGAACAAATAAAGTACTTTAACAGAGAACAGTATGAGAAATCTTGAATATGTAAGTTGCAAAAAATAAATATCACTGCAAAATACAGGTGTTTTATGGCTTCAGTTTCCTTAAACATGGTTCCCTGTAATGGAGAAGCATCCTATACATACCTAGATTACCGAGATTCAGAAAAATGTATTCAGTATAAGAAAAAAAGGGAAATAAAAGTATACTAACTTCTGAACACCTTTTATTCAAGGAGTAGATGTAAGGAAAAGTAGTCTGAGTTTATTTCTTGTCTCTATATGTAAATAATTATATATAGATATGTATGTATACACACACATATATATAAAGTGCAACACATAGTTTATGTAGCACTATATTTGGCTCTGTGTACTATATAGATGATATAAACTACATATATATAATACACATTCCATTTATAGAATATATAGTACATATATGGCATATAGCACATATAACGTGGTTTGTGTGCTATTTACAGTTTCTCCTATATCATAATATATCACATAATAATAGATGATATATTTTAAGCATAATTGTGATCCTATGCAACTTGTCCTAACATATTTCTTATTACCATGCTATTAACAGTTAATACCACTGTTATTTTACTTTTACACCCCAAGACAAATAAGTTACTGTTCCTCTGAATTCTCTCAGCCCTTAAGAAATGAAATTCTTTCTATCCGATTTCTAATCCTAACTCCATGTGTTCATCCTTAAGCTTAACTCCTTTCACCATCTTTGACTTCTCTAGCTCATTAGCTCTGGTCCCCACACCCACTGTCAGCCACTAAGATCCACTGAAATATTCACGTGGTTGGAATGTTTGCAAAACATAAAATAAACAAAAGAAAGAAAGAATATCAGTAGTGCCCAAGGCATTCCTCCCAGAGAGCATTCTTAATATCTTTGGCCTGGATTCTATGCCACGACACTGTCTGCTCAGTTTACCCTGACCTGCCTGTGTTATAAAATGAAATGCAGTGGCCCCCATAGTCTGTCACTTTCCTAAAGGTGAAGCGCATGTGTCCTCCATGTGTGTATTACAACTACCTAGCCAATTGTGAATACCTGGTGGCATGAAAAAAATGGAATGAAATTAACAAGAAAACAAATAAAGGGATTTTGGAATTGGATCATATTTCGGACATCCTGAATGTCATGATGTGTCAGGCTCAGAAGTGGTGAATGATTTGTTCTACGAGATACTTTGTGGTTTGGATTGAGTCCTCATGGTTGAATCCATTGTAAGATAGATGACTCAAGGTATCAAAGATTGCTCCCTGGAACTCGGGTCTTCCTTATATCTACCAATAATATCAACTGGGAAAAAAGGGCATATTTCTTCTTAATGTCATGACAAACTGGTGATTATATCAG